TATATATATAGCCATATTGAAAACTAAACTGTACTGCATTTAAAATAGTCACCAATATAGTAATTCTGAAAAGTAGACAATACCTGGCATTGCTTTTATAAGCCAGAAAACAAAAAAAAACCTTGTGCCCTTCTGGTTTAATTTTTTTTCCCCCTGATTCATGGCTAAACCCACACCCCTGTCCAATAAGTTCCTTAGATGGCCACAAAGGCATTCCCATTGGAAGGGAAGATAATAGAATATAGCATTATTATAGTAAAACTAAAAATCAGAGAAGGGTACAGAAGCACCTTCTGGCTAAATACAGAGAATGGCTGGCCTCTTGCCATGCCTGCGCTTTAGCTGGATGTTTACAATGAAAACGGGTTCAATTGAAAAAGTCAGACGTGTCATTTGTGCCATTGGCAGTACATTGTTAAATAGAAATAGGTTTCAACATGGAGCTCTCAGAAATCATACAACTTGACCAACTGCCAATTTACATACAACGCCTGTAAAAATATTTGCATTGAGTTTGAGCCTTTAAAAAAAGGGACCATAGACAAGTTGTACAAATTTTCATAAAACTATCTGAAAATTCCTGACATTCCAGCAGGAAAAGTTAAAGGTTTCAGAAGCTTTTTTTTTGGTAGATATTTTAAAACTGTATAGCTAAAAAAACTGTAATGAGGGTTTGGACAGTAGGGATGGATTAGCACACATTACATTTTTATTGCGGTCTGTTCTGGCCAAGTAGAGTCTCACTCTCTATTTGCTCTGGTGACCACTAACACCAAGAGAATGTGAAGGGTAAACCAACAGTTAGAGGAATACAAATTCCTTCTCCCGAATTCAAAAAGCCACAGAAGAGAATTCTGTGGACGAGCTCAACACTGTAAATGTTGCTAATCAAGCGGCTCAGGCAGGGTAGACACCCAAAACTACAGAAACTCTCAATACTGCAAGCCCAGGATGTTGACTTCCCACAAGTTGTTGTGTTCCCAAAAACAGATGCGAGTGGAAATATCAATACGGAGAAACCCACCCCACCTAAATTAAAGACACAACAAATGCACATACCTCAGAGTTTGAGATTCCCAACTATCTCAAGGAAAGGACACACTTTAAAGTGAATGCCCATCCAAAACGGATATATTGCTTTTGGACACCTGCAGGATTCTGGTATTTGGGGGCCCATGCAGCAGGACATCCTCATTTGGTTCCATCTGTTTTGCATGGACTCTCCCGCCAGTAAAATGCAATTTAAAACATTCAGTAAATGCAGAGATCAGCAGCTGAAGTTGAATGCAGATTGTCTCTGAAAGCTGGGCCTCACCCAACATCCTTTCCCACTAGTCACCACGGCAGCCCATCACTTACAGAAAACAGAACTCAACAGCAGTCTATGCATTTCTCTCAGCAAAGATCTCAAAGTAGGGAGGATGCCATTGATGACCAATCCTGAATAATAGCTCCCAGGCTGGCTTTGAAATCCATTAGCTTTAGTCTTTTCTAAGTCACTGACTGGTCCATGTATGCAGACCAGAAGAAGTTCTGACACTTTCCAAACTGAATGCTTTTTCCAGGTTAATGACTCAAGGTTTTGAAGTCAATGACAGCCAGACAACGGGTCTTTTCAGAAGGTCACCTTCATAGGCAGTCTAGATTTGATCTTAGAAGGTTTCCTTAAGGGGGATATTAAGGACAAAAATATAGGAGCTACCAATGCCAGCTTATTTTGGAGTAGCATTTGGGGTAATCACACCTCTATTTGACTAGCTACTTAGAGAGTCTGACCTGGAACAAGCATGGGTATGCCGGGTGTCCCAGAAAAGTGACCCATCCAATGTAGTCAAGAATAAGAACGACACTTCAAGCTAACATCTGACTGACATACCCAAAACAAAATGGAGAACTACTACAGTCGTAATGCTTACTGCCACAATCCTTTTAACGGTCCCACCTGTCCAATAGCACCTTACCTCTGTGGTGTACATCGGCCGCTGCCCTTTTCAATCTGCCCAGTAGTAGGATAGGGCACATTAAGAAATCTGTACAGGCTGCAGCTGCTATCTTCAAACACCGACCGTCTCTTTTCTTTCCCAAACATACATGTGCTCAGCACGGATTCAAACACCTTACAGTCCATAAGAGCCTGGCACACCCGCACAACCTTGGAACGAGGGATGTCGGCATCGCCAAAGTATTTGTGCTGCACAAGGTGAGCAAATACAACGTCCACAGCATCTGAGCCAATGAAACAGTCCGGGTGGGACTTCAAGTGGTGCCGCCTCTTCTTTACCTCCACCTGAGTTTGCAGAGCGTGGATGATGCTGCTCCAGATATAGGTGGCTCGGAAAGGTCTGTTATTCAGGTTCGGACCTGGCAAGAAAAAGAAAGTCAGGTAAGCTGGTTGTATTTGTCAGAAATTAAGAAAACGTCCAGATCATTGTGATCATCTTCTGCTATACATGTGTTCAGCGTAATAAAATTTTATTTTCGCAATACGCCAAAGTGACTAGAGGGAGAAGCTACAAAAGATGGAACAATTAAAAGATGCACATTACTTTGATGAAAATATAAAATTCCCTTTAAATGTTAATTCAAGGCAACCCACTAAATACAGAAATTCAATTCCTTGGCAGGTAAACTGGCAACAATACATATTGTATTCTATTTGTCCGTTCGGTCCTGGCTTAAAGTCCTGCTAGACATCAGAGCCAGGTTAGTGACCTGACATTTCTCTAGTGCAGTTATACACTAAAGCTGTGATTGGATAATGAAGGCACAGCAGCAGATTAGGCTATTCCTCTGCTCTCCTCCGCAGTCACTTTGTTCCCTGTCAACACATGTGCATAAAGCTTCTCCTCCCTCAGTCTTCAACTGCAGAGATGATTACAGAAATTGAAGATAAAAAATTGAGGCCGTGTACTTCAAAATAGAAAAAAAAAACCAAAGGGAGCATGATTTCACACCCTTTAATTAATTCATGTGATGAATCTATTGTGGGGCCATCTGAATGAATTATTAATCCTGTTTTATTAACCAATTACGTGATGAATCTAGTGTGTTAAATAATATGGAAAAATCATGTTTTAGAAAATGGAATTTAACTCAAAATAATCATGTTATATCAATAAATGAATTTACAACATTTTATATGCAATAAGAGAGCATCTAGTATTTCTTAAAAGCCCCTCCCCTAAGGTTTTTGCACACCTTAAGGTGGAATTTATCAAACTTAGCCATGATTACAGAAAGTCAATACCAAACCAAATTCAGAAATACTCAAGTGCTCATTACATTGGTAGGTAGCACAACTGCATTAAAAAATAACTGGCTTTTTATGCACCTTGGGAAAGTCCAACACTGAGATGTCCCTGCTGTTAATCCCAGCTCTGTATTCATAAACACAAAAAAAACACCAGGAAAGTGGGCGTGCCTCATAAGGGCCACAGCCAGAGGGCATTGACCCTTTAATAGTCCAAACATCACAACTGTAGTCATACAACTCATTTGTTGCGAGGTGGAAGATGGACCTACCAGTTTTGTTTTGAGACCGTTATAAAAACCGTGTACAGAGAAACTTACAACGCTGCCCCCCGCCCTCCCCCCAAAAAAAACTAATTTAAAAACCCAATAGCCCTGAGATCACACACACCAAACATTGAGAAAGCACTGGTATCTATTACCTCCAGAATTAAATTACATGGCAGCCATACGAGTCATGGGAGGGGGGGGGGGGGGGGGTAGT